TTTCTATCGATTGACAGAAGCTGCTGCTCTTTTCATGGAGAAGAAATTGTCGGTTATTTTCGTCATGTCTCCCATCTCGATGTTTGACAGGGATGTAGCAGCCTACGAAAGATTACCACAGTCACTCTTTAGTGCTCGCGAGCTTGCTGCCTTCTGTTTTGAACTTAATCTGACGCGTGGCCTACTAAAAGTAGGCAACTTGTTCTTTGAAGTGTCTGTGTACAGGCTGTGGTAACATGTTCTAACCTTTCTGTCCACAAACTTAGTGTACTGTTGCGGTCACACAGAGGTCTCAAATCCTTCTCACGAGTTCAGCCACTTGGGTGTCCATACGATTCCTTGTGTCAATTGATAGTAGGTCTGGCTGTGTCTAGCAAATGGATTCCCCATCTCTTTCAGCACGTCAGCAAGTGCCATAACTGCTTTCAGAATCCTGCTTGCACTCCACGTTTACGCTGGTCATTGAGTGAGGGTGTACCAGTGTCAAACAGCCTCACGCCTGTTGCTTTATGGCCTGTTCTCCAAACCCGTGTACTATCCTGGCAATTCTGGCCTGTGCTACCAATCAGCGTCTGAAGTCTTTCCTGGATGTCACCCTGTCAGTCTATAGCCCGCACCAGCAACCTTTTACCATCTGCATATGTGTTTTCTCATGGACTGGTCAAGTGCCATAGAGAAAAACTTGTTGTGTGTTTTGTCGCACACAACAGTTCCAGACTGGAATTCCGCATGGACACTGGCTGTTTTTCAGCCAAGAGTCGTCATGTCCGGCTGTACGGCCGAAGCACCGCTGAGTAGGCGGCGTGTAGATCTAGGGCAAAATCGCAGGGCATGATCTGCGTCAGGATTGCCACGTACAGATAGAAGTACCTTGCACGAAGTAACCTGAGTACGTCAGCATGAAAGCACCAATGGACATGCGGCTTAAGCCAGTAGTCAAAGTGGACATGCTGGCTGCTAGCACGCACTCCTCAAAGGATGACTATCTGCGTACATGCTTAGTTATCATCGGATGTCATCTCACTGTAACTTGTTGGAGGGAGTGTATAAATTGCTATGCAGCTCGTGACCTGGTGTACATGGCGTGTCTGGTGACATGCCTGGCATGTTATGAAGAATTTTGTGTTCCGGAACTTGCAATGTCAGCCTGTACACCAGCGGCGTTCGTCCAAACCAACTGTCTTCCAGCCAGTCTACAGCAACTTCAACCGTTGCCATCTCGATGTGTATACCACCAAACACCTGTACACAAAGATGATATCTCTCCGTGAGTGGCGCTGGCCAGGTCCTTACTGGACTTTCCTTAGCAAAGAGCATACAGTGGTTGGTCAGCAGCAAGGACAGGAACTGGCCAGGGTCAAGTGCGCATGGCACTTAAAATGATCATCACATATATGGCGAATCTTAAGATTATTTTGAATTACATTTCTGGGTGTTTATTTGCAAATTCAAATGATTTTCCTATTTTAGGTCATTTGACCATGACTGGCCTAAATGCTTGTCCTTGAAGCTAGCGATCTTCAAAGTTCACCAAAATAAATGGTCATCCCCAATTAGTTGCGAATCGACACTTACAATGTTTTTCATACGCTTGTTTGGTTCCAAAATTAGACGCGTTTGAACATTAAAGCACGCGGTTGGACTGGCGGCTCATCTCTGGAGTTGACCTCGTCACGGGCTCCTCAGAGGTTAAGATTGACTCCCTCCACATCTGAAAATAATCACATAATGGTGTATATACTAACTATGCTAGAAATTTCATTGCTCATTTCTATAAAATGCACCATAAAGTGTTATAATATGAGAGCCTTATTCAACTGTATGCTACTACTATATAGAATATATAGATTTGAAATATATATTCTGAGCGGGATGTCTCGCGGCTACTGCATGTCCACTTGTTACGAAAAGTCAGGAATAAGAAAAAGAGAAGGTGAGAGAATCATGGAGAGGGGAAAAAAGATTTGGTGAGGAATTGTCGCGCGTGATTGCTCGTAGGCGTAAATTCACATTTATAGGCGTAAATTCACATTTTGTGCCGCGGGGAGTGAAAAAGTTTCGGCAGAAATACGGCCATTTACCTGCAAACGTTGACCTCCCATGACCTTCAGACGTCTGCACTGAAGAAATCTTTTCGCAGCTAGGTTTTATGACTGTTCGCCAACGTTTTTATTACCATCGATCTCTTTTAACTTACAAAATTTTACGTACCAGGCACCTGCCTATCTTGACGGTTTTTTTACTTTTAAACATGAAGTGAGCTCCAGACGGACGCGTAGTGTGTGTGCAGATGAAGCGCGTTTGTATCCGCCCCGTGCACGCACTGAAATGCTACGAAAATCTTTTCGGTGTGCGGCGGCATCTGAATAGAATAATTTACCTCCTGACGTTCGAGATGCCCCCACCATTTCTTCTTTTAAAGTCCGTCTAAAGAAAATCTTGCCCTATCAATAGGGACCATTGTGATCTACTTACCCCGTACAATTTTAGTCAAAGTATTTCAACCTATTGTGTATTTATTTAATATTTAACCGTTCTGTTGCTGTGAGACTGCCATGTGGAAGATAGGTCCGCGTCAATTTATTGTGTCTGTACCTAACATGTTTTACCGTCGTTAAATAAAGTTTTTACTTACTTACTGGTCGTGGGCAATCCTATCCGCGAGAGGGGAGTCAGGAAGTGAGGAAGAGAACTAAACGGAGAGGCGAGAAAAATGCGAGAGAGAGAAGGAGAGAGTCACAGAGAGGGAGAGGTGTGAGCGAGAAGACAAGAGAAGGATTCACAGAGAAAAAGAAGGAAAATAAGAAAAGGAGAAGAATTGTCAGGTCGCCGGCCGCGAGAGGGCAGTAGGGAACAGTGAACGTCAATAAGGTATTCTGTCGCACGTGTTTGAATAATTCGTTTCCAAAAAACAACGAATATCAACGGTTTTTGAGGTAATTTACTGCGGATAGCAAGTAGTATAAGTGCGTAAATGGCGCGCGCAAATACGCTGATACATTTTAGGGCCGTAGCACAAGGAATGTAAGTGACATGACGTGAAACGCCACGATTATCTGAGCGTGATCACTGTTTTCGGCACGGGGCCACTTCGGTTCAAAGATAGAGAACATGGGTCCCAATAAAACCAATGTCATTTACATCAATATAAATATAATATTATATCAATATAATAGGTTAGGGTTAGGGACATTGGTTTTATCGGGGCCCATGTTCTCTATCCTTGGGCCCAAACTTCTAAGGATCCTTTTAATAGGTATGTGACAAAAAAATAAACTTGTTGGGGTTACACTAAAAAACTGGTACCATTGTAAAGAGCTTAGCAATACCCTTAAAATGGTCTTTGAACCATTGTTCTAGGACAAAAACTAAGGATGCTATGAATTTTTGAAGTTTATGAATCGGGGGTCAAATTTAATCATTGTTTTATCTAAAACTAGCGCTTTCTAATATGCTCCGTTCCTGAGCGAAGACGGGGTATCCAAAACATCTAGAGCCGAGGGCATGAACTCCCTCAACG